CTCTTTGTTGTGATTTTTCTGCCATTAATTATTTTAGTAGAAGTTGATATAGATTTGAAGTTGCCCATGCCACTACCACCAAATGATGTAGAAGAGAATGAAGTAAGGCCACCATGACCCAATGAACCAAATGATGATGTAAATCCTACAGGGAAGCAGACAATAAAGGATGATTAGAGACTAACGTATCAAATATTCATTTAAATAAAAAAATCAATGAACTTCACAATTTAGTAGAATTAAGAAACGTGTGTAGCCAGTGAGCAACAAAAGCCATACACAAATGGATCAGATTAGGCCAACAATCAATGTATAAGCTAAACTGCCCCATATCCAAAGGAAAGATAACACATACTTTCCTTTGAATCAATGCCTATGTGCTCTGGGAGAAATCGAAGAGAACAGAACCAGCTATTGCTTGAGTCATATTCTTTTATGTTCTCTTTCTCCTTTAATAGTGCTTTCCTGGATCTTGCTGGCACTTCCACCATGGAAAAGATTTGCCCTATTTATTCATAGATCATCTATGTGGCACCATGTGTTACAGAAGGGGCAAGGTGACAATATGTATGTTTGGCTTAGAGAAAGAGTGACTTCACTTCCATACTATTACTGCTCTTCCACTGTGCCACAGTGACGCAAAATAAAGGAAGCTATCTCTGGTAATCTAAGACTAATGGGCTTGTGAAAGGAGTTTAAATATTTGTCCAACTCCCCAAAACAGCTCCATATAAAACAAATATCCCATATGCTACAAACATGGCTCAATTACCAGGGCTCAAACACTGTCTAGAACTAGTAATATTCAAAAGAAACCTATTGTGAGGCACACATTTAAATTTTTCTAATGGTCCCATTAAAAATTAATAAGTAGTTATCTAAGGTTTTAAAATTTAACCTAGCGTTGCACAAAATTTGTTACAAAATGTGAGGTATACATATTACTATACATACTGTAGCATTCAAAATCTGGCATACCATTTGTAACATTAATTTTAAAAAGCATCAAATCCATTGCCACTGAGTCATTTCTAAGTCATGGCGACCCCTTATGTTATGAAGTAAAATCATTGGATAGAGTTTTCTAGGCTGTAATCTTTACAAAAGAATATCACAAGACCTTCGTACCTCCGTACAGTTGAGTGGGTTCAAGTCACCAACTTTTAGGTAGCATATAATTTATACATATAACACATCCCAAGTTGAATTGGCCAAATTTCAAGCGCTCCGTAGCCACACAATAGAGCTAGTGAGTGGCTGATGTACTGAACACTACAGATCTACTGTAAGCCTGGGCTCCCTCCCCTATCTTATAACGATTCACTGAAAATAAATCAGAACCACTTCTCCCTCACACACTTCACCCATTCATTGTTTCTTAAATACAATACTATTTTCTAGGTTCTTTTACCAGTTAAATCCAGGTACTCTCACCCTGAGGTTAACATATTACATGGTATCCAATAAAAGAATTTGTTGGAGGTAAGTATATTGTTATTAAGGGGTATTTATTAAGGGGCAACCCAAAACGGCCAATTATTTACCTAAATATTACATATCTGGGCAATATTAGAAGGAGAATAAAACCTGAAGTGTATTATATCGCGCATAGATGATACTACCCCCTGGTGGCACTAGAACAATCCGGGGTGACTGAAAAAGCAGATAATACATATACTTTAAACTGGATTATGGCCTATAGTGCAAAAGTTTTTTAATGGCCATGGGAGCACTGGGTAATTTTTTTCTGAAAAGAGGTGGTGACCAAGTAAGTCTAGGGACCTATGGTGTATACCAAATACTGTCGATTCTCATAACAACCCACTGCCATCAAGTCAATCTGGCTAATTACAAGACTATGAATCTTTAAATTTTAATGAATCATTTTCTTGGAGGCACTTACAGCTCTTATAACAATCCATACCATCAATTTTATCAAACACATTTATACATATGTTGCCATCAATTTCAAAGCATCTGCTTTCTACTTGAGCCTTTGGTATCAGCTTTTTCCCTTCCCCTCCCTCCCCCACGCACATGAATTCTTGATAATTTATACATCATTCTTATTTTCATTACCGTTCATGGTCTCCCTTTATCCACGTTTCTGTTGTTTTTCCCCCTTGGGTTGGGGGAGGGAGGGCTATACATCAATCATTATGACCGGTTTCCCCCTTTCTCTCCCCACCTTCCTCCTACCCTCATGGTGTTGCTACTCTCATTTTTGGTCCACAGGGGTTTATCTGTCCTGGATTATTCTGTGTGTCAAGAGCTCTTGTCTGTACCAGTGTACATGCTCCAGTCTAGCCAGATTTGTAAGATAGAACTCGGGTCATGATAGTAGGGGGTAGGAAGCACTAAAGAACTAGAGGAATGTTGTGTTTTATTGGTGGTGTACTGCACCCTGGCTGGCTCATCCCTTTCTTGTGACCCTTCTGTGAGGGGATGTTCAATTGTCTACAGGTGGGCTTTGGGTCTCCCTTCCAACCCCCCTCATGTTCACATGGAAATGGTAATTCGAATCTTCTGATGCCTGTTACCTGATCCCATTGACATGCAAGATTATGAATCTTTATGTGAGCAGATAGCCTCAATTTTCTTCTGAGAAATGAGCTAGTGGTTTTGAACTTCCAGCCTTGTTCTTAGCAGTCCAAAAGCTTACCTGACAGTACCACAAAATCTCCTTTACCGTGGATTTAAATATGTGTGTGTGTGTCTGTCTATGTCACGGGGCGGGGGACAGGGACGAGTCAGAAAGAATTGTACTGACTTTCGCCAGAATATGACATGGCAGACTGAGATTCTACTTCTAGGTAAAATAAAAGAGTCATATACCATGATATATATATTTTTAAAACAGAGCCTTAGTGGCCTAACGGATTATGAATTGAGCGGCTAACCTCAAGATTATTAGTTAGAAACCACCAGTCTATCTTAGGGAGAAAGATGGAGTTTGCTGCCCCTGTAGACTTAGTCTCGAAACACAGAGGGACTGGACTGTTCTACTCTGTCCTATGGGGTCACCATGAGTTGAAATTGAATCAATGGCAGTGAGTTTGTTTTATATAGAAAAATATATCATTACTTAAAAATTCTAAAGAAAAAAATCAGGACTCAGATTTAAAGTCCAACCCATGATTCTTTTATGCTGTTTTCTTCCATTACATTGCCCTCCCAAAAGACTGTATGCCCATGTTATTTTCTTTTTTACACAGGCTTCCTGGGAGTAGCTATGAGGAGTTTTCTGCAACAATCTCCCCAAAACACATTACCAGTTTAACAACAACAAAATATACTAATTGCTGACCTTTAATAGAAGTTGGAATAATGGGGAAAATTCAAGTGTAATACATCAACAAATGCTGATAAATCTACCAAAAAGAATAAACATACTTCAAATCTTCTCTAACTAAATGGATAGTTTAAAACAACTAAACTTTGTTCAGATATAGGAGGCTATCAGAAATTTTAATACCTGTATCAAAAGCAGGAAATCCACCTCCAAAAGATGGAAACCCACTGAAGGCAGAGAAAAAGGATCCTGTGCCTCGGGTTCGGCTTGCGCGAGGGCCTCTGCGATTGCCAAAAAAATTCTCAAATGGGTCTTCTGAAAGCAAGCATAAATGTACACTGTAAAATCTTTTTATAGTTATTTTTAATGGGAGAGCTGAAAAAAAGAAAAGTGGTTACTAGTCCTTTAGGAAGAAAACCTTTCCGACAAGTTAAAAGATTATATAAATCCGACCTCCCCAAACAGTTTTACTTACTGGTTTAATTACAATAAAGATAGAGTGTATTATAGAATACAAAACAAGCCTGTGATGGACGACAGCACATATATAATATAGAAGTTCGTATCATTAATAACACAGGCCAAGCTCATGGGAAAGATGTTTTCACATCTAACATCATGGTAGTCACTGTTCCTGCTGCTGCTATGGGAAAAGTTAGCATGATCTGCCCTCACTCCTACTTCATGGAATCTGTATTGCCTTCTCCAAAAATAACTAGAAAATAGTAAGACACAAAGATAAATATATCCGAACTACTAAACTTTATGGTATTAATTATAACTTAAACTATTTTAAAAGTTAGTTTGCTTAACAGGCATATATAAAATACACAGAGAATGACAGAGCAAATACAGCAAAATATGAACAATCTTGGTAATAGACTTTGGGTTTTCATGTATTTTATGTCTCAAATACTTCTAGATTGTTTTAGTAGGTCAAATCTGAAAAATATGTTAATTAGTACATTAACATTAGTACTGTATATAAGTTATGTTAATACAAAATTACTGACACTAAAATAAGCATCATATTTCTACTGGAGATCTCAAAATGTTCCTGAAAATAAAAACAGGATTAGTGCTGGCAATTTCCTTATTCTTGGTTATCAATTAGCAAATACTTTCAGAAAACAACTACAGACTTTCAGAAAATAACTACAGTCACCACTCTTTACTTAGGATCTATGTCACTAGGGGGACAGAAAGTTTATGTGATAAGGAAATGAGAAATCTTGATGAATGGATAAAATATAAATACTTAAAGAGAAAAGGAACTTTTAATAAAAGGAAAATTACAGAATTAGTATGGCAGAGAGCATACGGGTTATCTAGAGCAAAGAGCTGATAACATTAAAGCAATCAAGAATATTGGAGTAAATACAAGAAATTAAAATGTAATAAACATAGAAACCCAAGCAGAAATAACTGAATTTTATAAATAAAAGTATACTTCCAGCAGGGATTGGAGAGATTATCAAGGACAGCAAAGTAGAAGATTCAATTCTAGAGCAGGTTAGGATGTAGTAAATGATCTAGAAATTGTGTACAAAACAAAAGCTGTGTACAGTTGTTATCCAAAGTCAAAAGGAAATTAACAAGAATGAAGCCTTCTAAAGAGAGGTGTTTTGAATAAAATTTGTTATTTCGCTATATCCAATGGTACATCCAGGAAAATGAGGCCTAAAAAAAAAAAAGAAAAGAAAAAAGAAACCTTGGTTACGAGCAGCTTGTTAAAAGACCTAGAAAACAGATAAAGAAGATGTGTCTATCAATATCACCTGAAAACAATGTAGAGGTCCACACCTGCCACACCAAGCTCAGAGCATGGAGTTTTGTTTTTCTGAAAGTCAAGGGTAACTCTTCAGAGGACTTATTGTTAGCCAGAAGTTAACCCAGTTTTATAGCTTTCACTCTTTTCTGTTCCCACATTCCAAACCAAAACTGTCACCAGGTCCTTTGCAACCTCTGACTAGTTGCATACTGGTGCATACTTAAATAACTTCTTTAAGTAAAAAACTGCTTCCATACTTAAATAACTTCTTTAAGTAAATTTACTGCTTTAAAAGTAAGTTATTAAAAGAAGACCAGTGATTTTTCAGCTTACTAATAAGGAAAATTTAATTGTAACCTTTTGAGACTTCTTCCAGAGGCTACCAAAATGTCCAGTTCAAATAAAATCCAAACATTCTGTATTTCTAAGTGAATGGTCCAGAAACAATGCTACGCATCAATTCTGACAGTGGCTTAAGAGCTTTTTATAGTTAAGATCTACAAAATGGTAGAGATTAAATTACCACCTAGGTTAAGAAACACAAACTCACTAAGGGCAGTTTTAACTTATTGTATAACAATTGTATAATCTTGCCCTTTTCCTCTAAGAAGTAACCATTAAAAGGAATGGGCTAATATTAACATTTCTATGCCCAGCCTTTCACATACACTTCTCTTAAGAGTCAGACTGTAGATTCTAAAGATTCACATTGAACTTTCATGGCCCATAACTAGGCCTGGTGCCTTTGGGATTACGAGTTGGTCTGCTAACCACAAGGACAGCAGTTCAAAACCACCAGTGTCCGATGGAAAAAGATAGGTTTTTTAAATCCTGTAAACAGTTAGTCTTGGAAACTCACAGGAGCCGTTCTACCCTGTCCTATAGGATCTAACTATCAGTTAGATGGCAATGAGATTTATACTGTCTTTTAGTTATTAACAACTAAACCTGTAAAAGGATCTTAAACCAGTGTCACACGTGAAACCATTACTAAACAAATTATTTTCTTAGGCAATCATTATGCTCTATGTTTAAGAAAAAGGCTTCCATACTTAAATAACTTCTTTAAGTAAATTTACTACTTTAAAAGTAAGTTACTAAAAGAAGGCTATTGATTTTTCAGTTACCTATATTTTCTTCATACTAAAACAATCCTCATTTCTCTTTTTTCTCCATGGAAACTTTGATGACTTTCAAATTTTCCAGGCACTTAACTAAATTCTAACTACATAATTTCAAATACTGAAATCATAAAAAGTTGTCTTGAAAAAACCTGATAACCGTAACAAAACTGAAAACATTTGTGATGTAATTAAAAGCTGTCTCCGGTAGGACAAGTTTTACATAAAGCTTTCTATCACATGCTGTTACTTAATCTTTGTCCTTTGTGAAAGAAAGCCCATAATACATGAGATCTTTAAAAATCTTCAACCATAAAAATAAAAACGATTTTTTAAAAGAATATCAACTTCAATTCTATGACCCAGCAATTCTACTTTGTTGGGAATTTGAGGCAGGGTAACCATGGAAACAGCTTACTTTGTGCGCTAAAGACTTCTTAACATTATTTGCTGTGAAAACTGGAAAATAAACCTCATTCTCCAAAAGATGAGTAGTTAGTAAATGTACAACACATTAAATGGCTGGTGTTCTCTTTTTAAAAAAATCGCGACTATAATTTGCTTTTAAAAAAAGTCAGCTGGAAAAAAAAAGTCAGCTGTGGGTTTTCAATGCTATTAAAACAAAGAGTAGATTCTTTCCCCTTCATTTATCTGAATTTTCCAAAAATTTAGAGCATGTATGATGCATTATTCTTGCATTTAAAAAGGACAGCTTAAGATTTTTTAAATAAGCATAATGGTTCAGTCAAAAAGGATTGCTACTTGGGTTCCAATTCATACTAACCGAGGTTAATTCCAAACACCACCTGCTTAAACATGTCTCTGTGATCAAGAGATAATAGCCAACGCATTGTTAATAGCACATTTTCTTAAAGTCTCGTTAAGAGTGCTTTCAATAAGATTTTTTTGTGTGCACCATAGGGGTAAGGGACTTATTTCGAGCTCAGGGCTAACATTTTTTAAACAAAACTCACATACGGACACCCTCCCAAATCATGTAGGTTTTGCAACAAGTTTATGGGAATGCTGCTCCACATGAAGTGTTTTAAGGAGTTAAGAAGACCTCAAGAATGAATTCAACACATGGAGGACGGCTGAGATGTTTATTTTTTTAATGGTCCCTAAGGGGTAATAATCTTGCTTTTCTCAAATGACATAAGATCATCCCCGGGGCTTGCTATAAATAAGTTTTAAGAAAATGAAGACTGCATTTACTGGGAGGAAAGGCCAGAAAAATTGCCTATCACAACAATTCCCCTGGCTCATTCCACAAGGTAGCAGGGCTGTTGGAGCAGGACTTCACCAAGAAACCTTACCACATCCACCATCATCAGTCCTGTTCTGTAGTCAGGGTTCCTTCTGTTCCCAAACCCCCAAAAATATTTAAAAGGAACACAATTTGAGTCCTTTGAGAATGCCAAAACTGCCTTTAGAAAGGGTTAGAGAGATGGAAACACTTCAAAAGTATATTGTTTTAGAAGGGAGATATTTTGAAAAATAGTAGCTCCACAATGATGTTTTCATTTAATAAAGATTTCTATAACTTTATAACAATACTTTTTACTTACCCACATAAGAACCTTTCTGACATAACCAAATATGCTGTGTATATACAAGAAAATTTATTCTTGACTATTTAAATTATCTTTATACCTTTAAAGATATATCAACAGATACATTTCTATAGCATGACTCAATTATTAGAAGCATCCTATAAATATCAAGCACTTCCTGCCACACTCTCAAAAGTCCTGGATCCAATCCGTTAATGGATCCATAATGTTAGCAAGAGACTAAACTAGTTGACTAGAGGGCCAAGAAAGTCAAACTATGGCAATAAAATGCCAGAAATGAAATAGTATTTTTCACTCCTAGAGGCCAACAAACGATCCTTGAACTACCTACAAGCTTTTCTTTCTTGTTGTGTTTTGATTTGTTCTTTGTCATGGTTTGATGTTGTCGCTTTGTTGTATATTGTTGCTTGGTTTTGCTCTGTCTTGTTTTTCTGCATGTTATTATCTCCGCAGGTCTGTCTAAATAAAATAGGCTGGATGAACAATCTGGAGGAGAAAACAACAGGACCGACAGTTCAGGGGGGGTTCATGGGGAATGGGGGGCTGAGGGGAAAGGAAGTGGTGTTAACAAACCCAGGGACAAGGGAACAACAAGTGATCCAAATTGGTGGTGAGGTGGGTGTGGGAGGCCTGGGAGGGCATGATCAAGGGTAATGTAACCAAGAGGGTTGCTGAAAAACCCTGGTGGGAACTGAGAATAGTGGGACAGGAGGAATGTCAAGGGAAATAGAGGAAAGAGCATTTATAGTGGTCTAGATAAAGACATCACCATATGCAAATATATTTATATATGAGGATGAGGAAATAGATCTATGTGCCTACATTTATAGGTTTAGTATGACGGTAGCA